CTTCGAAGGAGTCAATTTGACTCTAATTGCAAAGAGTAACCGAACTACGAAAATTACCGTTTCGTCTAATTTTAATTATGCAAACGTTGTTTTGTTGATATACTGGTTGCGCCCAATCACACTGATCAGTGATCACACACGGCAATAATTTTCAATTTCACTGAGGCAAACAGTTATACAGTATTTATATAATCATGCACATGCACAGCGAAATCGAGAATTCTTACCTAGAATAATGTTCTTGAGAAATTCTTATTTTAAGCAAAATTTTGCTCAAAATAAGTAAAGGGGATAAATTATTCTTATCAAGAATGAATTTTACTTGAATAAGTAAACTTTTTTTAAGCAAGAATAACCGTTTCTTAAACAAGTAAATGTTCTAGCTTGTATTCTAACTAAGAATTTTGGTATCTTAAAACAAGGAAGGCGTCTTTGTGGATTCTTGGCAAGAACATTGTTAACTTAAAACCGGCAATCAAAAACGCTTGTTGCCAATTCACTTGCCAAGAATACTAATTTCAAACAACCAATTTATTTCAAACAACCAAGAATATTTTTACATTCTTACTAAGTAACATTTAATAACCGAGCAATATTCGCAAGTTTCGTTTCATATGCAGACGAAATGAAGGTTTTAATGCGTATTTAAGCATTCTGAATGGACGTAGTTCGTTTCTTATGAAAATATATTTTAAACTTCGCTAACTGCCAACTGGTGGAAAGAACTGTGGATTATTGTGGATTACTGTGGATAGGATTTACTGGACATTATGTCGCAAAATTTCCTGCAGAAGATTGCGCAGATTGTTTTAAAAGTGGCTGGGAATCTCAGTCTTCTAAGAGGTAAGGATTAAAATTATACGCGCAAACAGACGAAAGCTATTTTTGAATTTGCCGCGTAAACAGTAAACGTATTTATAAACAATAAACAGATATATTCACAGTTTTAATACTCATCATTCCCGATAAATGAACGACGTTTATATAAATATATTATAACGTGGTTATACTATAGGCACTATGCCATAAAAAGTGTACGTGATATTGACGTTAGCTATAAAACCATGGTCAAATTTTAGCTGAAACATTTGTACTCAATCTTAGGATCATGATATACTGAATCTTGGTTACTGGATATACATAAGTTTTGATTAAGAATTAGGATGAAATAACTTTTTTATTGCCTTTTAAATTTTTTTATATGCATTCTTATATGGTGGATTAACAATGGTGATGTTTATGTCTAAACCTGTAATGAAAGAGGTCTCATTGGAAAATATCTGTGGTAAGTAATGCATTATAAGGAATTGTGCAATGCTGTTAGATTATTCACCTAAGCATATGGCTTAGTTTTAATGTATAATATAATATACCGGTAATTATATACTTATTGACCAATTGATTATATACTTATTTATCATGTAATAGATAAAAGGAAAATCATTGACAGCTTACCAGATGACTACCCTTTATGCCTAATTTATATCTGTCAGAGCATGCAAAACTGTGCATAGCATCCCCAATCATATATTTCACACATATTATGCACTGCTTAGTTTCTTTAACATTTGTTATCTTAACTCTGCATGATTTCTCAAGTATGCTTGCTTTTTTGTTTTATTAGGAACATGGATTGAGGTAGTGAGCAAGAAATTCAGTGGAAAATTTGCTATACCAATGGTTAATTGGACCCACAGTGTTTCAGCACTTGATTTTCAAAGAAAAAAATACTCCAGGTGATCTTATAAATATTTTCATGTTTGGCATGATATACAAAATTTAAGAACAGCTGGTCAATAATCAAAGGAAACATTGCTCAGGAATGAATGACTTTAGCTTATGTGTAATAATTGAAGACATGCAGTGAGTTTGCATAGATGTGTTTGTCTTCTTCCATGAATATTTTTATTCAACTACTTCTGGGTTCATACAAGGGCTTAATTTCATTATCTGAGCTCTATCGGATACTTTCCTAAACTTGCCAATTGGCAATTTTTAATTAAGTCCTTGAAAGACTTTTATTTGAGCAAGGTATTGCACAAACCTAGCAGTACTTTGAAAAAACTATTTCTGTCAGATGTAAATGTATGGCATTTATATATTTAGTATGGCCACTAAATAAGTAGTTTTAATATTTTGAACTAAAATAATGTATAAGAGTAAGTATCTGTGATGTTTCAAAGCCAGCTAATAAACTTAATTACTAGAAATGTTTTCTTTTGTCAAAAAATTTTGTACTTATTATAAGTAAAATTATTCTTGTTTTAAGTAGTTTTTTTCTTATTTGTAACATTCTAGGTAAGAATTGTGTGAGTAGGTTCCTTAATATACAATAATAATTTTGCTTATTTCAAGCAATGTGTTACTTAAAACGAGTATTTTTTCTTTAGAAAATTCTTGTTGCAAGAATTGTTTTTCTTAAAATGAGATTCCAGGTAAGAATAATATTCTTGCCTGGATTCTTGCCAAGAATAATATTCTTACTATACTGACAAGAACAATTTTACTTGTTTTTTTTTTTTTTTTTAAAATAAGACTTACGATTTTGCTGTGTGCATGTATTATATGGATTTGGCTTGATTTACATGAAATTAGGTTATAAATTATACAGGGACTGAAAAGCGTAAACATGCAGTGCTTCCACTTTCAACTCTAGGCCTTTATGTAATGTGATTTATTTACGCATAGATACTTATCCCTATATTGATCATTAAACCCTATAGAATGTATTGAATTATCCAGAAAGTATAGGCTTGGAGTTATCATTAAAAAGTGCCTTGCACCAGGTGAACTATATTTATTCAAATCTATTTACTAATTATTGTATTTTACTAATTTTGTATTTACTAATTATTGTATTTACTAATTATTGTATTTTACTAATTTTGTATATATTCATGTGTATGTTATAGTGATAATAATATAACAATAGAGTTGATGTTCGCGGTCATAAATGTGTTTTGGCCCGACTTCGAACTCATTTTAGCCCGAGCGTAGCGAGGGTTAAAATGTGTTCCGCGAGGAGGGCCAAAAACACATTTATGCCCGCGAACATCAACTCTATTACTATAATATATAATAAACTATAAACTATTATTACTATAATATATGTTCAACATCGTCAGCCTTCATCCCCTTAGCTCAGTAAGTCATGCGACATTCCATGTCAGTTCCAGTAATTGTTAATCTCAGACCTTTAAAGAAAAAAAACAAACACTCCAAACACTCCAAACACTCCAAACACTCCAAACACTCCAAACACTCCAAACACTCCAAACACTCCAAACACTCCAAACACTCTAAACACTCCAAACACTCCAAACACTCCAAACACTCCATGTCTTCTGACCTGGATTCAAGTTTACTGCTTTTATCTTTTTTTATTTCACGTTTCCATTTTGAACATGTCCAATTGCAAAAAAGTATCCAGCCGACTTAAAATAGTTTTATTTTTGCAGTTACTTTCCAGAATATACCGTTTGGTTAAGACTTGTGTATTATAGTATATCATAGTTTTAAAACTTCTTTTTCTGTCAAATATTTTCAATAATTAGCTATCGAGACCATCCTCAGTTGTTCGGGCTGGAATACACAAGCGGTCAGCTGAAAAATTACTCGTCTTCCGACAGGTAGTTTAAAAAGCAGATTTTGTATGAAGCTATATAAAATATTTCTTGTTCTGAATGTTTGTATTTCACTCAATCTAGGGATATATCATTAGCTGGTTAGCTACACGGGGTTAGAGGCAGTGGAAATGGAGATGTTTGTGTAAAAACGACTCCAACGAAGAGACGGTACTGTACGCTTTTTCATAAATGATTGCGCGAAAATTATGGTCAAAATTTTCCTGATGAAAATCTCGCACTGCTATGATTGCCGTAAATACGAACCCTCATTTCATTCTCCTCCTGACGTATGGGATCTCATATAACACACAAACAATTACACTTCTCGTCAGGTATTCCTATTAGTCAGTGCAATACATCACATACAGCAAAAGAAGAATTGTTTTTTTAAGATGATATATTTTTCAAGGTTATCGTTGGGGTCCATTGTATAACGTTGTTGACGAAGAAGTAGAAAGCAGTCATTTAAAATTCCTCGCTGCGTCTCCAGGTGAAATATTTCTCTTTTTATTTCACTTTAAATTTTTGAAATATCTCCAAAAGCTTATATTGTCTTACTACTGGTTCCTTGCAGGAAATTTAACCGAAGATGTGTAGAGATTTAACTGCAATATTTCCTACAGCGGTCTACTTCATGCAGTCACCCAAGACGTAAGTTTACAATTTCTTATTTTGTACTTTTCTGCAGACAAAATCCTGTGTAGAGAATATTATTGCATTTTTACTGAGTTTTAATGCTCTGTCAAAATCTGGATTAAGGCTCTTTTCCACTCACGTGTTTTTCATACACACGTTAGTTTTCTGCTTATTTTAGTATGCATTAGTTGACCTAGATTTACAACAATATTCGTTATAAAGGAAGCGAGAATAATTTAAATTGGCAGATTGAAGCTTATTATAATCATAACCATGTACGCACGGACTCGAGTTTACTTGATAGTCGATAGCGTCGACAGCAAATGACATTGAAACGTTTGTATGGATATTTCGAAGTCCTGACAGTATAATTAATATCCCGTAGGTTATTTCAAGCAAATATTTGACTAGCGACGTCGAACAAGGCCAGTTAACCGCGTCGTGGATCGTAAACTGACCTCAATACAGAAAGTGGGGACAAAATAGCCAAAATACAAAACATTTTGTTCTAGGCCTCTCAGTTCCCGGCTCGCCGCGTATAAGAAACGTTAAGAGGCCTAGGGACTACGCTGCGGTAACTCTGGTTGCTGAGTTGACTGGGTCCGAATCCATGAAATGGTAGATTTGAAATTTTCTCGCCAGAAGTACGGCTGGAATATTAAGTCTTTTAAACTCCAATTTATATTTCAAACGATTTTAAATATTTTGTAAGGACTTTTCCCGGAGAATAAAGAAAGACTTATCATTAATGCCATCACAATGCTCATTGCTCACGAAGGTATTGTATATCTTTGCCAATAAATATATTTAGTGTTCACCCCTAAAATATACATATTCTGACTGCTATTACCTTCACAGGTATTCAATATATACATAAAATAGTTAAAATGTTTCGTCTATTTGCAGGAGACCAAAACAAAATATCAGATAAAGATCTCAAAGCACTGTTTCACGCTTTGAGACATTAGGTTGGATCCAAAGCAGGTTTCACAACGCTTACTAGGTGAGAAACGTTTATCTTTAACCACAACACACGCTGTTTACTCAACCAGCTCACTTTCTCTAGACCGTGTTTCTGTTTTGTTTTTACAGCTTCTATGAGAAGGTTGGTGTGAAAACTGTGAAAGCTTTGAAGAAGAATAATGAAGCCGTGACTCACGCCGCTGTCGACATACTGTGTGCTCTGATGCAGGTAAAGAGAGGGCTTTCCTTTAAGCGGCCAAAATGGTCAGACCGGTCATATTTAAATTTAAGATAGAGTATTTCGTTAAGAATATAGTTGCGAAATTTCCGAGCTAGACAGATGCAAGTAACGATATACTTGAACGCAGAGTTCTTGAAACACTCTAAAATACCAGTAATCTGTCTGTACCGAGATCAAAAATAGGACCGGTCTGGCCGTTTTTTCCGTATAAAGGAAAGCGCCAACACTTTAACGATGAATTT